ACAGCGCCACTTCCGGTTTTCTAGTGGTTTATTGGAGATAAGAGTCTCACTGACTTTCCTGCCTGGGCTGGCTTTGAACCTCGATTCTCAGATCTCAGCCTCCTGAGTAGCTAGGATTACAGGTGTGAGCCACTGACGCCCAGCTGAAAATCACAATTTCTATGTGAATCCCAAAGTAGCCTTTGCCTGTCTGCTTCTGTGGCGCCTTGTGCAGGGCGCAGAGAGCCGGCTCCTCCTGCCCGGCCCCTGGTCAGCCTGGCCGGTTTGGGGCACAGGCCTCTCTGGTGTGGGCTGTAAGACCCATGCCTGTCTTGGCTAGAGAGTGGGGAGAGCAGGGAGCTGGGGTCTTTTGGTGCTCACAGTTTGCAGTGTGCCCTGCTTCACTTCTGAGGCAGTGCCTGACCCCTGGCTGCACTTCCTGGCCATGCCCAGAGCCTTAGCTTTGGTGGTGGCCACAGCCCAACTGTAGCTTTGAGAACTGCTCTGGGAGAGTGTTTGCAGCCGAGGCCTCGCCAGTCACAGGGCTGCTGTGTGGCCCGCGAGGTCATCCCACGAGTTCAGTCACAGGCGCCCGTCAGAGGCCCCAGCTCAGGGCCTAGGGTGGAGTACAGAACACTTGAGGTCCCAGCACAGGTGTGTCCCACAAGGCCTCCCAGGTGAGGCCTGGACAAAGTCCTGCGGGCACCGTGCACCTGATGACAGACCTGAGGCTGTGCCAATCTTCCTGGCTGGGGGCATGTGCCCACTGTGCCCATGGATGCTCCCCGGCCTGGGGCGTGGCCCACGGTGCCCATGGATGCTCCCCGGCCTGGGGGCGTGGGCCACGGTGCCCATGGATGCTCCCCGGCCTGGGGCGTGTGCCCACGGTGCCCATGGATGCTCCCCGGCCTGGGGCGTGGGCCACGGTGGCTGCTGGTTCTCTCTGGGTGTAGAGCGCGTGCCTGCTGCGCCTGCTAGGTCTCCCTGGCCTGGGGTGCGTGCCCACTGTGCCCGCCGGCTCTGAGTTCATCAGTATTCCTAAGGGGCCGCAGCCCACCATGGTGCACCGGCCCTTCAACTTAAGCTGCAGCCTGCCACGGAGGGGCTCTTCCGTGGCCCACTCCTGAGACTCCTCCTGCCCAGGGCAGAGGCAGGCAGGCGCAAGGAGGACTGGTGTGGAAGCAGTGCACTTCGGAGGCTGGGTTTGAGATTGGGCTCACCTTTGCGCCCCAACTGTGTTCAAAGTGGAGAATGATGGGGCCCGCAAAGCCTAACGATGCTTGCTCACATCGCACTGACAGGAGTGGCAAGGAGTGTACTACACCAAGAAGAAAAATGGAGACAACGTACAGCAGAACGTGAAGATCGTCCCTGTGGTGGGGCAGGGGGGGTAAGTAGAGACTGTGGGGTGGGCGGATTTGCTGGGGGGGGCGGATGTCTTGCAGAATGCCTTCTGGGATGATACGTCCTGGGGACCTCCTCCCCACAGCCACCAGACCGGCACAATTGCTTTTAAGCTGCAGGATGCACAAGAGACTGAATTTATATTTACTTAAAGTCGGGACATCAGTGTTAAGTTGTTTGCCAACAATGCTGGCGAGTAGACTCTATGTTCACAATTTTAAAAATCGCATTGGATGACTTTTTCTATAAAGGTCTATCAATCACTGTAAAGAAAAGTTTTGTGAATACCAAGTTATAGAAATTCTTAGGTGAAATGAAGGTGATTGTTGATTGGCAGTATGTGTGTATCGGGAGCCTTAAACTTTCAGATGGGTTGTTCAGAATCTCCTGAGATAAAAGCAGAAAATTAACCAATATGACTCAAACATCAACAGGCGAAACACGCCGCCGTGGCAAACGATGCTCATGGGAGGGTGGGGGTAGTCCTGCTCCAGCCCGACCTGGTTGATAATCACTGGGCCGCAGGAGGGTGGCGGGAGTGGGACCGTGTACACAGATGTGGCGCAGGCTGCGGCCCTGGCCGCTGCGCGTGGTGGCGCCGGTGCCGACGGCGCTGCTCATGGGCTGCGTCACCAGGCCTCCCTGCCAGTTGGCAGCTCCTGGGCGCTGGTCTGTGCAGGCTCTTTATGTGAGAGCAGTGTGCAGGCCAGGCGCCGGGGCGGGGCGGGGCAGCTGGCTGGGGCTCAGAGGAGAGCTGGGGAGCGCTGCATAGGGATGAGGGCCGGGCTGGCCGGCAAGGAAGGGTCTGGCTGTGAATGGGACCCCCCAGAGCACACGACATGTATTTCAGTCTCCTGGTGTGAGAACCAACCGGGGAAGAACTTGGGACCAAGTTCACTTCTCTGCAGGGACACAGGGCATGTGTAACTTGGTGGGCTTGGCCAAAAATGAAAGATTAGGGACCCACCGGGTCAGTCAGGAGGCAAACAGCACACTGTTTCCTACAGAAAAATCAGACACTATGTGTCCATCATCCGGGTGTGCAACGGCAGCAAGGTAGGTAGGGCGGGAGGGATGGCGGGCAGGCCTTCCAGGCACTGGACCCAACAGCCTATGACGCCCGCTTCTAGACGGAGGAGATGCAGGAGTGTGTGGCGTCCCAGAGCCAGACAGGTAGGGGCCATCTCCACGCCCATCGAGCATCCCAGGGCTGCAGTGAGGCTGGCTTCCCGAGCCATGGCCACCCAGGGCTGCCCGACTGATGCCCAGGACACGTTCTAAGCCCAGAGTTAGGACACAGCCATCCCTGCGGTGTGAGGACGGGCCTGTGCTGTGTCCGAGGCCGTGGCCCAGTGTGGCCCTCCACCTCACCCCTGCGCCTGCTGACCCCTACTCTGCCCCCACCAAAGAGGGACGGCCGTGGGGATGGGCGCTGGGGAGGGGAGGGGCGGGGCGCTGGGGAGGGGCCGGGCGCTGGGGAGGGCTCCCCCTCCCTGTGTTACACTGGTAAGTGGCAAGGCTCATCTGTCCCCTCAAGCCACTCAGCTGTTCATTCAGACAGTGGGTACTGTGTGTTTGAGCACCTTGCTGTTTTAAGGTGCTGTGCTAAGTGCTTTCCGTAGTGTGTCGCTGGGCCTTTGGAGTGACCCCAGACCACGGGAGGGGGGGGGTCTACCAGTGGTGCCCATGTCCTCCTTTCACAGAGGAGGAGCTGACAGGTGTCACCTGCTTAGGAATATTCATGTATAGAGTGTGGGGCTGGATTGACTCACCCTGGAGCAGCTCGGGTGTAGTTTGAAAAGAGGTGGCTGACAGCGTGGGGAGGGGAGAGAGGCATGTTTGAGTGAGGGGTGTGGGGGAGGAAAAGCATTCCAGCAGTGAGATGACGAGAGAGAGGGAGGGGTCAGGGGGCGCCCCTGGGAACACCCTGGGGGTGGCGTTGGGAGGTGGCCCTGCGGGGCGGGAGCC